CATGATCATTTGTTCTGCATCAGTAACTATCCACTGGTCATATTCTTCAATTGCTTTTAACCTGAGTGCCTCTTCCAGGTAACCTTCTTCAACCATTTGTGTGGAACCTGCAACTTTTGACCAGATCCCGATCCGTTGTAAAAAGTTGTCATCCTGCTGCTGATAAACTTCCTCAGCATTAAACACTTCAATTTCCAGAAAGCCGGTTTCAGCAAAATAACCGGCCAGATCTTCGGCAATATGATTGTTCATTCCTGCATCAGCGCGCCATTTTAAAAAGGTCTGGTAAAAGTTCAGCATGCTTTCGGGCGGCTGCGGCTGCCAACTTAATTGTTCATGGTTATAATCCAGGATAGAAAGCTGACCTCCTGGTTTTAAGAGTGATTTGAATTTTAACAGTGCTTCTTTTGGATTGCTTAACCATTGTAAAGTACGGGCAGAAACGATCAGGTCAAATTTCTCTTCAGGTTCATAACTAAACAGATCATGGTGGATCAGTTCCAGATTCAAAGTTGTCTGATAACTTTCTTTGCCACTAATGATAAATTTCTCTGTATTGTCAATTCCGGTAACAAAACCTTCAGGCCCTACCCTTTCGGCAATATCTTTTGATATCGCCCCGGTTCCGCAGCCAATATCCAGTACACGCAAACCATTTTTAAGGACTGGAATTAGTGTAGCGTAATCTTTCTCTAAGCTTCTGTTATCAAATATTTTATTCGTGGTCTGGTGGTCCCGGTGTATAGTTTTATTCATTGTATAGCTTGGTTTATCGTTTATTGATGATGATCAGGTGTTAATTTAATACTTATGCTCAATGGTTATTCAGCGCTTTAAGTTAGAAAATTCTCACAGGATTATCCTGATAACCGTTTTCCATTTCTATATTTGACAAAGATTTTTATCCTCATGAATTTAGATATACTACTTCAGCAAGTTGCTTTTATTCACGAAATCGACAAGCTTAAATACATTCAAAGAAAAACCCGCCTTTTCAACAGTGACCGCAGAGAAAATGATGCCGAGCACAGCTGGCACCTGGCTATGATGGCACTTACATTAGCAGAACACTCCAACGAGCCAGTAGATATTTTAAAAGTTTTAAAAATGTTGCTGATCCACGATCTGGTAGAGATTGATTCGGGTGACGTTTTTCTTTACGACACCATTGTAAACCATGACAATACAGAGGCTGAGCGTAAAGCGGCAGAAAGAATATTTGGTTTGCTGCCCACAAAACAAGCAGAAGAATTTGTTGCAATCTGGGAAGAGTTTGAAACAGGAGATACTGCAGAAGCCAGGTTTGCGCGTTCCATGGACAGGTTTGAACCGATCTTACAGAATGTATCTAATCAGGGCGGTACCTGGACTGAACACAATGTACCTTATGATACTGTGATGGACAAAACCCGTAAAATTGAGCATGGATCTAAAACGATTTGGGATTTTACTGAAACATTAATTGATGATAGTGTATTGAAAGGATATATAAAGAAGACAGACCAGGAGTAGAATTCATAAAATTCTGCTTTCTGCTGATCTTTTTCATTTACATATTATAACCTTTTCATTTACGTATTAAAACCTATTCGTTCACCTATTAAAACCTAAAATTGAGACAATAACAAGTCCTCACTATCTGGTTTGCCATAAGCATCAGCTTCAGTTAAATGACCGTCCTGACCACTTACTCTGGTCAGTTTTTTACCCTGTCTGAAAACTAACTGCAAACCATGTTCCTGATCCCAATCACAGGCACAAGCCACCTGAACATAGAGGTCTTCATCTTCATACAACCTTCTTGTGACATAAATTTCTGTAGGCTGCACAAATTTCCAAATTTCATTTTCGTCAGTGATCGCTCTTAAATCATCGTCTGCTTCATCCGGTTCTGCCAATTCCAAAAAATCTAAACAGTATTTATACACAAGGTGAATTACAGCTTTCCTGTCGGCAGCAGTCAGTGTTAAAAAATGTTGTAAAGCATCATCAGCCTCCGCTAAAAAGGTTTCATCATGCTCCTGGTTGTAATCCGTAAAGCTGACGCCCACTTTTTCATGATCAAAAAAGGGGATCTCAATTTCTTCTCCTATCCACCAGTCCGAAAGACTATCATCTTCAGTTAAAGTCCCGATTACTTTTGATATGATCTGTACTCCCATGGCTGCTTTTTTTGTGAAAAATTAAGCATTTTTATCAAGAAACTTATCATTCACAGCAATATTAGTCTACTACTAATCAACAAATTAACTTTATTAAATTTGCAGGTGCTATCAATAAAAATAGCCTGTCCATAGCATGAACAGGCTATTTTGAAGATATATATTGTTGAATAAAAGACGCTATATAAAAGTAAAAAAGCTATTTCCTGCTTTCAGTATATAAAGCTTTTCCGTCTTTTGATGCCCCAAATTCCCATATTCCATTCTTTTTTTCCAGGAACATGCTCCCATTAGAAACAGTACTTACATAAGAGTTTTCAGCTTTTTGGGTTAAGATAAAATTACCTTCTTTAGCAAATACTTCAGCTTGTTTGTTATCATCAGAGAAGGCAACTCCTGCCATCAAAGTCCCAGAAGGGTTGGAGAGTTTTAAAGGCAATTCAAATGCACGGATACAGGTCTTTTTAAGCGCGCTCCAGGTATAACCCGCAGAAGCTTTACAGCCATGTGCATCGGAATCTCCGCCTACCACAGCCCCAGTTGCAGAAACTGCAGCAGATGAGAATTGAGTTAAAACAGCCTTGATATTTTTACCTGTACCTGCGTCTTGTTTATAGTTGACATTATCAATTTTCCAGGCGCCGTTTTCTTTAACCAGTACCACATTATCTTTCCATGTCGTATTGTTATAATCCTTGTTGGTAAATTCTACAGTGACTATGGCTTTATCCCCCTCAATTTTAGTATCTCCAATCTTGAACCCGGTATATCCCTCATTCAAACTGGTAAAGATATCACCCTCAATCATAGCTGGTTTATCCGTTGATTTTGCAGCTTTGATCTTTTCTGCTGATGCAGCTTCTTTTTCAAGCGCTTTATCAATTAATCCAGCCAATGAGGCCGAAAGCATCCCTTTATCGGCACCTACATATTTGCCTTTATAATATTTGTAAAATGTGTTAACCACCTTAGTGATCCCATTACTTTTAGTATTGTCACAGCTAAATAAGAGCGTAATAACAATAAGAGGAAAAAATAGAATTTTGATTTTCATAAGCTTAATATTTGGTTTTTAGCTAAAAATAGTCCTATCTAATATAAGCAATTATTCAGACAGGACAATAAATAATATCACCAAAATTAACCTATAAGTATTTGAATGATAACACGATAACTATGTTTATCAATTAAATCGTTTTGCTGTCTTTTACACTTTCCGGAGCATGTTAACTTTCGTTGACAACAGGCTCCGGAGCCAGGAAATCTGACAGCCCTTTTTTAAGGTTAGGATGGGGCGCGTTTTTCAATCCATAACGTACATCATCTATTTTCCAGTTCCCATTTTGACGGATCAGCAGCACTTCATCTGTCCAGACAATATCTCCTTCCAGGTGATTGGTAAACTCCACACGGACTGTAGCCAGGTCCCCATCAGTTTTCACACGGACTATTTTAAAAGAAGTATAACTTTCGTACAAACTTGTAAAGATATCTCCTTCTATCATCGCTGGCTTATCCGTTGATTGTGCAGCTTTTAATTCAGCAGCCGACAGCTCTTCCAACTTAACAGTTTTGTCTATCAACATGGCTAGTTCTCTTGACAATAAGGTTTTGTTGACCTCTTCAAATGGGCCTTCATAATTTTTATAAAAGTCATCTACAGCTTTAGCTGCGCTATTGCTTTTAGAATTAGTACAACCAAATAAAATTACAGCAGTAATAATTGATAATATGATTTTGGTTTTCATCGGTAAAGATTTGTTTTGAAAGATATTTTAATGAATAGCTATGTTATTCTACGTTTCCCGAATACATAGTCTTGCCGTCTTTCAACGCTCCGAGTCTCCAGACATTATTTCTTTTTTCCAGAAACACGCCCTTATCAGAAGCTTCGGACTCATAAGCTGTTAAAGACTTCTTGTTCAATACCCAGCTTGTGTTTTGTGTAAATACTTCTGCCTTTTTCTGATCATCGGAGAAAATTACGCTTGCTATTGAAGATCTATCCATACTTCTTAATTTAATAGGCAATTCAAGAACAAGGATACATCCTTTTTTAAGATTACTCCATTGATACTGATTGCCTGCAGAAAGTCTGCAACGCTGATCATCGGCATCTGATTTTACTGCAGTGATTGGGGTCAAAAACTGCGATAAAACATCTTTAGTGCTTTTCCCAAAAGAGCGTTCCCCTCTAAAACGCACATTATCAATTTTCCAGGCCCCATTCTCTTTAATTAATTCAATATCGTCTTTCCAGGTCTCGGTGCCCGCCTTATTATTGGTAAATTCAAGCTGAACTGTGGCTTTATCGTCATAGATACTAGTTTTACCAATCTCATAAGAGGTGAAGCTTTCAGACAGGCTGGTAAAAATGTCGCCTTCAATCTTATTTGGCTTATCTGTTGATTTTAAAGCTCCGAGTTCTTCGACAGATTTGACTTCTTCTGCAATCGCTTTGTCTACTAAAGCGGATAACCCTGCCGAAAGTAATTTTTTGTCCACTTCCTCAAACGGTCCCTTGTGGTGATTATAGAAGGCATTAATCACTTTGTTAATCTCATTATTTTTGAAAGGGTTACAACTGAATAAGAGCGTTGTTACAATCAATGATAACAGGATTTTTGATTTCATATAATTATTTTTTAAGTTTAGAAAGCTGCTAAAACGGCTTTTATAATTTTGTAAACGCGATTTCGTTACTATACCCCTATCTGAACCCCAAAATATTTACCTTTGCTTACCATTGATCAGCCAGGCACATGGTTATTGGTTTGCGATTAAGGGTTCAGGAAAAGTGAATCAGCCTGTACAGCTTCAAATCTGTTTTGGTGAGCCGGGATAAATCAGTAAGTTTAAAAAAATGGTTAAATAGTTCTTTTTAAAATCCGCGATGCACGCATTTATTATCACATTATCAATTCTTCTGCTTTCTTTTACTTTACTATCAATTGTTAAACACGATTACTGGACTTTCCGGATTTTCGATTATCCGAGGTTACAAAAGCTGGTACTTTCTATCCTTTGTTTATTCCTGATTATCTTTTTTTACCATGGACAACCGCTGTATTACTGGTTGCTGATTGGTTTAGTCACGCTGAATATTGGCTATCTTTTCAGACAAATTGTTCCGTTCACTCCCTTAGGAAAAAAGCAGGTAATCCGTGTAACAAACGCTATTCCAGCACAGAGCCTGAGTATTATGATTGCTAATGTTTATCAGGACAATACCAATTCAAAGGGCTGCCTGCGGGAAATACAGAAAAATGATCCTGATCTGTTGCTCTTACTAGAGACTAACCAGCGCTGGGATACCGAAACAAGGGAGCTGGAAAAAAAATATAAGTTTCATATTCGTGTACCACTGGAAAACACTTATGGCATGCTCCTGTATTCCAAATTGGAATTGACAGATTCAGAAGTTCTTTACCTCGTAGAAAAAGATATTCCGTCTATCCATACGGGTGTTATGCTTAGAAATGGTATGCGGATTCAGTTATATGCATTACACCCCACTCCACCTGTACCTAATGAAAATCCAAGGTCAACTGAAAGAGATCAGGAATTGCTGCTCACTGCAGATCTTGCACAGAAAAGTAAAGATCCAGTGATTGTTATTGGCGATATGAACGATGTAGCATGGAGTTATACAACTGAACTGTTTTTAAAGATGAGTGGCTTGTTAGATCCAAGACGAGGGAGAGGGTTTTTCAATTCCTTTCATGCACATTATCCCATTATGCGTTTTCCGCTAGACCATGCTTTTATCTCGACAGACTTTAAATTAAAGCAAATCAAACGCCTGGCGAATTTTGATTCTGATCATTTTCCGATTTATATTGATCTTCAATATGAGAAAAAAGCTTCCCTTCAGCAAGAAGCGATGGAACCCGATGCCGAAGATATAGCGGCCGCAGCAGAAAAGAAAGCATATATTACCAGTGATTAAGCGTAAATTACCAGTACATGGAATCTAATGATGTAAAAATATCCCGCAAAAAACCTATTTTCCCAGTTACACCTGCTTTGCAGAAGTACCTGAGAACTTATCAGCGGGATTCAAAACTTCCGATTACTTACAATGATTTGTTAGTTTTTGACGAAGCTTATCCGATTATGGATAAATATGGAAAGGACTCACTTTGGGAAGGGCCTATTTATCCCGCAGACCGGATTGAACATTTACATAATGGTTTGAAGGTCATTTATGCCAATTTAAAAGCATCTGGTAATCTCCGGATAGTACAGCACAAGTATATAGAGAGAATTGAATATTGCACCTTTGGAAATACACATCCTTTCCGGATTAAAATTGTAAACCGTTTAAATGATGTGTATGACTACTTTTATGTTAAAAAAGCCGATGCATCACGGATTTATGGGCTGGAACTGGAAGAAATCCTTTCTCCAAACCAGGTCAATTATCTTGTGGACGGAGAAACATTAATTGAAGAGCATGTAGCTGGAATACCAGGAGATGTTTTCGCAAAAATGTATTTACACAATCCAGAGTACAATCCTACACGTATTGCAAAGGAATTCGTGAAATTCAACGAACGCTGTTTAGTCATGTTATTAGGTGATATGCGGGCTTATAATTTTGTAGTACAGATCACTCCGGATTTTGACGACATACAGTTCAGAATCAGGGCTATTGACTTTGATCAGCAATTTTATGAAGGAAATATCAAAGTATACCTTGCACAATTCTTTAAAGAGAACCTTCCCTATGTGAAGATGTGTATGGAGCAATTATCTGATAAAACCTTTCTGCAATATCAGCAGGAAGAGAAGTCTTCGATACTGCACCGCGTTCGTAGTGAGCGGCATCGTTTAACAGATTTGCGGGATGTATCCAATACCGAGATATTAACTACACCAGAAAACATAGCCTCTTTGAAAAAAGGGATGTCCGAACATTTTGCTGACCTGAATTATTTAGGCTGTAATACCATGACTGATATCGTAGAATTGAATATTAAAAATATCATCAGGCAGGTAAAATTATAAGTACACTTAAGAATGATTTGAATCCAGCACCAGTTTACTCCATCCCCCTTCCCCACTTGCCTTTAATTCTTTTTTACGTTCTTCCAGGATCTTCTGCATTTTACTATTATAAGCCCAGCAGGTACTTTGCCTGATCAGCAGCAATCCTGAAAGCTTATGAGAAGAAATCTTCCCTTTGGTAGAATACACAAGAAAAAGCATATAAAAAGCTTTGTTAATCGGAATCTTACTATTTTGGAAAATAGTATGGGCAATTACAGATTCATCATAGCCACATTTTGTACATCTCCTGCTATAAGGTAAAAAACCAGCAAGAAAAAACGTATTCGTACATTTACGGCAGGCATATCCATTTGCCCACTTCAGCTCAGAAAGATATTTAAAGCAGGTTTCTCTATCCGGATAAATCTTACTGAACTCTGCAAAATCAACATGGTCTGACATCACCCTGGCTTTCGTTACCTTCTCAATATTCACATGCAACTCCTGATTATCCTTTTCCAGCATTGCATTCATTAAAGAGATTTCTTCATGCTGTTTTTCAATAATAGAAGCTTTTAAGCTAACCTCTTGCGTGCGCTCATCAACAAGCTTGGACAGTTCTTTATTCAAGGTATCTTTGAGGCTTTCATTTACCTGTAATTGGTGGATCATTCTTTTTTGCACCTCACTTTCATTTTTACGTAAGGTGCGGACACTTTCCCCGATAGCAAAAGAAACCAGGATCATCTCAAATACAAAACAGAAACTCAGACTATAATAACTAAACGGTCCATATGGCATCCAGGAAACATTGAGTAACAATAGAATCTTAATGAGAAAGCCAATCACCAGAAATGAATAACCAATCACAAAAAACATGGCTGGACGGTAATGGTTCTTCAAAATATAGATACCAGTTCCGTAAGCGACCAGCAATGGGACCAATTCTACCAGCTTATAACTAAATAGCTGCTTGTTAAACAACCCGATGATAAAAAACAAGCTGCGTAAGCTGATAACCCAAATAATTAATTGATAAAGTCTGGGGGCTTTAGCTTTGACACCGAGAAAATTAAGTGTAAACATCAATGCGAAAACACTACTTAAAAACAAAGCCAGGCCAATACCATATTCATTCCATAAAGGCCAATCAGGCCACAGATACTGAAATGCGATACCATCAATGCTCATTTCATATAAGCCGATACTCAGATTATACAATACATAATAGAGGTATTGCATTTGCCTGACCGCAAAAAACATGAGCAAATTATACAAACTAAAAACAATCACCATCCCATAGAACAGTCCGAAGATCAGGTATTCATTCAGTGCATATTTTACGAACCAGCGGATATCCCTTAAGACTATAAGGGCGCTGACGGATTGTGAAGATTTGATCCTTACATAATAGGTTAGTGTGGCGTCCGTGTTGTTATTGAGTTCATAAATGAAGTTTTTGTGCTGATACTCTCTTTGACGGAATGGATAAGCAGTCCCGGAATAATAAGCCTGATAATGACCATTGTTATCTGGTACAAACAGGCTAAAATGATTAATGGACTGATCATAAAATTCAAGTACCCAATTTTTAGCGGATGCCCTGGAATGCTTAATCTTAAACCTGTACCAGTAAGCAGACGTTAAATGATAGTTCTTTGGTGTATACTTATCATTGGGAATGAATTTTGAACGAACAGCAGGCTTTAAAACATCAGACAAAGTTAAAGCGTTAGTACGATCTTCCAAATACTCAATTTCCCCATAAGAAAAAATATAATGAGGGACTTTATCCTGAATAGCGATAATCTTTTGTGCGTAAGACAGTTGAATTGTCAACATCAAAAACAGGCACATGACCATGAGGATTCTAACCAAACGGCCTGCAGAAGAGATAAAAACAGGTTTAATCATTAAAAATTGTAAAGATGTTAATCACAGGATGATTAAATATAATCAATTGCAATGAACAATTTAACAATCAAATAGCTGGCCCGGTAAATGAAAGCCGGGCCAGTTGAGTGCACTAATTGATTTTATTCACCACTAAATTATCGTAATAGATATAATCTGTAGTATTAGCTTTCCATTCCTCCTGACTTCCTCCTCTGAAAGTATGGAATGTAAGCTTATTGATTAATCTTTGACTATCATTTGTAGTCCAGCGGATATCATTATCCAGAATAGTTTGTCCATTGATAATAATTTGTGCATGTCCGTTTGTGCTTGAGCCTGTATTGCTTTTCACATACATATGAACATGATACCACTCTCCTTTTTGAAGCGATCCGCTTGCTGGGAAACGTTTAGTATAAGTATCCCCAAATTTAGTAGGCTGATCTTTATGATAGACATAAGGCTGAAAAAATACTCTGTCTGCACTTGGTGAATACCACATTAACCGAAGTGTCCCGCCATTTCCGTCCCATCCCGGATCTCCACCAGTATTTCCTTCACCAATGGCAAAGCCAAAACCAATCTTTCCACCTCTGCTAAAATTGAAATTGCTGTGAAATTTCACATCGTAGTCTACCTCGTAAGCGGTTCCCTGACTTAAATTCACATTTCCAATCAAGCCTCCGGCTCCTGATAGCGCATTTGGCAATAAAGTAACCCTTAAACCATTAGAGCCGTCTTTTCCATTCGTGACAAATGCTCTTGAGTCTTGCCATCCTGAGATATTTCCAAAGTCTGCAGCTGCTTGTGAATTGGTATAAGTTGAACCGTTGGTCCTGTTTTCCCAGTTCAGATTGAGATCACTATTTACGGCATTCACTGCTGTTGCCGGAGTTTCCTGCTCTTTGTTTCCCGATTCGTTTGTATTGACGTCTTTTTTACAGGCCGCCCCGAATAAAACTGCCAGCAAAACGATACCGGCCATTAACTGCTTTTTGTTAGTCTGTTTTTTCATTGGATAAATATTTGGTTTATAAATTGGTTGCTATAAATTTAAAGGAGTTTTATTGACATAAGCAAGAAAATAATTTTACAATAAACTGTATATCAAATAATTAAAAAATAATTGATACGCTATAAATCATAGATTTTTTAACATAATTATTGCATTTATCCAACTGTAACCGCTTTACTTGCTTTCTCCTCGTCATACTGATACGCTTACAACACAAAAGAATATTTATTCTTTTTTTCGATTACCTGGCAATTGTCTTCAAAGGATTAAAAAAAAGCTGTCGAATGTGAGCAACAGGCTTATTCTTAAACTTATTATTTGATATATTCGGCCCTTAATCAGCCCAAGAGACTGTTTATCAAATTCGAATACCTAAACATCTTACATAAATATCGCTATGAAAAAAATCAATAACCTGTATTGGATGGCAGCATTATGCCTGCTATTTAGCTGTACCAAACAAAAGATTAATGTTCAACCAGCTGGTTCCTCCTCTGCACAAAATTCAAAACTGACACAATCCTCACCGATTGGTGATGTGGTTGGTAAAATTACCGTCGGCTACCAGGGCTGGTTTGCTTGTATCGGGGATGGGTCACCAATTAATGCCTGGTGGCATTGGGCGCCAAATGCTTCACAGCAACCTTCAAATAGCAACAATGGTATTAAATCCTGGCCAGATATGCGGGAGTATACCGCTTCTTATCAAACTGGCTTTTCTAACCTCGGAAACGGTCAGCAGCCCAGGCTATTTTCATCTTACAGTGATCAGACTATCGATATTCATTTCAAATGGATGGAACAAAATGGTATCGACGCTGCAGCTTTACAAAGATTCAATCCCAATGGCTGGGAAGGCCCGGTCAGGGATGCCATTACCAATAAAGTAAAAATCGCAGCCGAAGCGCATAACCGCAAATTCTACATCATGTACGATGTAAGTGGCTGGACAGACATGCAGGCTGAAATCAAAGCAGACTGGACTTCAAAAATGTCGGCCTATACGGCTTCATCAGCCTATGCTAAACAAAACGGTAAACCAGTAGTTTGTATCTGGGGATTTGGATTTGACGACAATAACCACCCCTGGTCTGCCACTGTATGTTTAGAGGTTATCAATTGGTTCAAAGCAAAAGGTTGTTATGTGATTGGCGGAGTACCTGCGCACTGGAGGGAAGAAAACAGCGATTCCCGTCCTGACTTCCTTCAGGCTTATAAAGCTTTTCATATGATTTCGCCATGGATGGTAGGAAGAATTGGCAATGTGAATGATTCTGATAACTTTTACAACCATAATAATGTACCTGACCAGGCTTATTGTAATGCAAATGGTATCGATTATCAGCCATGCGTACTCCCGGGAGATCTACAAGAAAGACAACGTGCACACGGTGATTTTATGTGGCGCCAGTTTTACAATATGATTAAAGCGGGTTGTCAGGGCATATATATTTCGATGTTTGATGAATATAACGAAGGCAATCAAATTGCTAAAACTGCGGAGAATCTATCCATGGTTCCTTCAGGTAGTAATTTCCTGGCACTCAATGAAGATGGCGTAGATTGTTCTGCTGATTATTACCTCAGATTAACGAATGATGGCGGCAGAATGCTGAAGGGGCAGCTTCCATTAACTGCGCTCAGACCGACCGAACCCGTTATTGGCGGTGGTACGGTGGGCGGAATTCCATTTGATCAGGCTGTTAGCCTTAAGGGATCCAATAATCTATTTATAACTACCGGTGGTAATATCCAGAATATGTTTTGCAACCGCAGTACAGCCGGCGTTACGGAGCATTTTATAATAGTTAATGCTGGCAACGGCAAGGTTGCGTTAAAGAATGGAGATAAATACGTGTCTTCAGAAAATGGGACAGCGCCAATGAGTTGCAGCCGTAATTCTATAGGCATATGGGAACAGTTTGACTGGATTAAGAATGGTAATGGAACGATATCATTACGTGGAAATAACGGTAAATTTATTTCTACAGAGAACGGAACGCAGGCCATGAATTGCAATCGGGATTCGGCAGGGATCTGGGAACAATTCACCTATAATTAAGATAAATTACCACAGAAGGGCTTCCTGCTCCTTCCCTGGGGGCTGTCCGGAAGATCATGAAAATAACAAGTTTCTGAATTTTCCCGACAGCCGCCTGTTTTTTTGATCTGATTACTGATTAAGAAAGGTTAAGTTTCTTTTTTGCAAATAACTTGGCCCATTCCACCTTTTCATTATTAAGCTGGTCGTCTTGTGAAGTATAAAATTCAACTTTATGAAAAACAGGTAACTTGAGTGACAAGGAATAAAAAATATACATTGTTATCAATGATTAGCTGATAATCATTCCTGTAATGATGAGCAATACGTTTTCTGATATTTTCGACACCTATACCACTGGAATGCTCAGCTGCCCATTCACTCTTTTTATTGTAAGTATTCAGCAAAATAAAACATCCGTCTTCAGAAATTGACAGCTGAATTTTTGCCGGATCATCTGGCAATGTACAATTACCATGTTTTAGAATATTTCTACGATGATGATAATAATCAATGGAACAATCTGAATTGATGAAGATGTAATGCCAAAATCAAGGTCG